CGGGAGCGGCCACCGCACTCCAGTCTGGGCAGCAGAGTGAGATTCCAACTCAAAAAAAAAAAAGTAAAACATTTCCATGCGTTTCATGGGCTTCTGGTATGGTGACTCCAAGCATCAGGCCTATGGCACTCCATCCATGTCTGTTACTGTGGAAATTAAAGTGTCTCAGAAACTGCCAAGTGCCGTGGCCTGTAAGGAGCCACTGCCATTCCCTCGAGAACACTCCTCTCCGCCTCCTGTGGGCCCAACACCTGCCTCGCACTTGGCTTGAATGCTGGGCTTCCGTATTGAGTCTTCCAGCACGAGGTCTCGGGCCTCTCTCTTCTGTCCCATAGAGACGAGGAATGCCAGGGAGACCAAGAGTTGGACCCTTCAGATGTCAGGAAGGGCCATTTCACTGGGTCATTTCACAGCAGCCCTTAGGGTGGTGGCAACAGTGTCCTGTAGGGCAGTGGTCCCCAACCTTTTTGGCATCGGGGACTGGTTTCGTGGAAGACAATTTTTCTGTGGACCAGGGGTTTGGGGGGGTTCAGGATGATTCAAGCACGTTGCATTTATTGTGCGCTTTGTTTCTATTATTACTACATTGTAATATATCATGGAATAATTATACAACTCGCCATAATGTGGAACCAGTGGGAGCCCTGGGCTTGTTTTCCTGCAACTGGATGGTCCCATCTGGGGGTGATGAGAGACAGTGACAGCCGAAGTGTGTTGCTTGCGTCCGGTCTACTCCGTAATCTCATTTTGGTTGCTGTCGCTGCAGAAAACCCTGCTTCCCAAAGATAGGATGTTGGAAATGGAATCAGGCTTTTTAGTGCTTTTGTGGCAATTTCAGGATATTCCACCTTGACTTTATCCAGAACGATTGGCAATTTGAAGTTATCTCAAACATACTTTTAAGGCCACTGTCAAGTGCGATCTCAGGTCATTGATCCTCTCCTAGCATGGACATAGTCAGTTCACCTGGCTTATTCACAAATGGATTGCAGATCCGCTCCTTCCCAGTCTGGGGACCTTTTGTGGTTGGAAGTCATGCTCAAACTCTTTTGAAAGCTGAGATCGGTGATCATGCACCAGCTGGGAGAAAGAGGACCCTGGCTCAGTCTCAAAATCTCTGCTAGTGTTTGAAGCATGTCAGAAATGCCAGAGTTCACTCATTACCCCCATAATTCCAATTTGGCTTTGAATGGAGCCACTGTATCTGCTGGCTTGAACACAGTTGTTGTTCTCCCCTAAAGTGACAGATTGAATTTGTTGAGCAGAATGAATACATCACGCAAGTAAGAAAGTTTTGCGACCCATTCTGTGTCCCTGAAATGTGCTGCCAGCGGTGACTGTTTTTCTAAAAGAAATCTCTGGAGCGACTCTCATAGCCCAAAATCTCTGACCAGTGATCTACCTTAGAAAGCCATCTCCCTTCTGTGTGTAAGAGAAGGTGTGTGTGCTCAGTGTCCATCTCCTCACAGAGCTGTGTGAACAGACGTGAGTTAAGGGCATGGACTTCCATGTGGTTGATGATATTAATCACATCCTGCAAGATGCTGTTAAGTTCAGGTGACATTTTTCGGCTACCCAGCATTTCTCTATGGATGACTCGGTGCGTAGACTCACATTCAGCAGCAACCTCTTTGACCCGACCGAGTAGTGAAACCAGAAAGCTGTCTAAACATGGCAAGTGCTTATACTGACGCAAAATGACCAATTCCATTTTCCTGATATGGAACCATTCGAAGACTTGAAGAGTTCTGCGACTGTGGCATTATTGGTTGGCAACAAAAGGGCACACAGCATATCCTCACGCACATTCTCCTGAAAATATATCACACAAAAGCACAATTGCCTTGTCAACAGGCTTGTGTATCACAGTGGACCGAGTACCACAGTGCCTCGTTAAGCCTAATGACTGTGTACAATTGAAGTCCATCAACTCCCTTGCCACTCACTGATGGGGTTTTGCTATGAGTCTGAAAACTGCTGGTTGATTAAGGCCTCTGTGCAGTCAAACCTCACTGCTCGTGTTCATCTGTGTTTGTGCCTCTGCTGTCCTCTCCTGTTTCATCAATTCGCCTAGCTACGGCGCTAGCTGAAAGAGGAATGCGTGCCCCCTTTTGAACTGCATCCTCTCCTAAAAGCTCACGACAAATGTCCTTAGCAGCAGGCAGGATCCACTCTTCACCGACAGGAAAGGGTTTCTTACTTTTAGCGATGTGGTGAGTCACTAAGAGTGGCGCTCTCCATGCAGATACATTTGATGAAGTGATGGCCTTTGATAATTGCCTCTGTTCTTCGTGTTCACAAGTTTTTCTTTTAGAAACCCCCAGAGCCTTGTCTTTTAGTGCACGGTGCCTGGTCTCCACGTGGTAGAGCAGTTTTGAAGGTTCTGTGGCTTCACTGGACAGCAGGTAGCTACATATTATACAACATATTACACAAAGCAGGCTTGGAAAATGTGAATCACCAGTTGCAATGAACACGTAACTTAAGTAGGATTCCTGGTGTTTTCTTTGAAATGTAGCTTTCTGCTCAGCTTGTCATCCCAGCACTTTGGGAGGCCGAGGCGAGTGGATTGCCTGAGCCCACGGGTTCGAGACCAGCCTGGGCAACTTGGTGAGGCCTCATCTCTACAATAAAATAAAAAACAGCTGGGTGTGGTGGTGTGCGTCTGTAGTTCTGGCTACTTGGAAGGCTGAGGCAGAAGGATCGCTGGAGTCCAGAAGGTCGATGCTGGGGTGGCCGTGAGTGTGCCACCGCACTCCAGCCTGGGCGAAGGAGTAAGACTCCAACTCAAATAAATTAATAAATGTAGCTTTCTTTTTGTTGGCTGTCTTAGAGCCTTCTGTTATCTCATCATTGGATCTTTCCCCCTTTTCAAAGAAGCCCCAGTGACATTTGTTTTTTACTCATCTTGGACAGTGCTGGCTTGTGGGCCTACCAAAACTGTGAATGAGACACGTGCGTAGCGTCAGGAAAAGGTGCAGATGGAAGTGGAAAATAAAATACTGGGCGGGCCACACGTGGGCTAAAATAAGTGTTGGATTCTGACTAAAGCCTGCCCCCAGATGCAGCTGTATGACTGAAGTACGTCAACTCACTTGCCAGTTGCGGATAGGGTCTTGATATGAGACTGCAAGCAACTGACTTATGATGGCCACTGTGCAGTCCAACCTCCCCAGTCATGTTCATCTGTACTTGCAGCCGCTCCCCAGAGCTAGCATCACCGCCTCGGCTCCACCTCGGATCATCAGGCATCAGACTGTCATAAGGAGCGTGCAACCTAGATCCCTCGCATGCTCGGTTCACGTTAGGGTTTGTGCTCCCGTGAAAATCTAATGCCACCCCTGATCTGACAAGAGGTGGAGCTCAGGCGGTAACGTAAGCAATGGGGAGCAACAGTAAATACCCATGAAGCTTCACTTGCTCACCTCCTGCCATGTGGCCTGGTTCCTCCAGTGCGCCTCTCGCTGTGGGTACTGGCCCATGTCCTGGGGGTTGGGGACCCCAGCAAAAGTTCCTACACCGGATGCTGCCTTCTCTGTCTTCCAGATGGCCCCGATAGCTGCGGCATAAGGCTTGTGTCGACTTTCGTGCATTTGTGTTTGTCTAAGACTCTCCTCGAGTCACACAGGATTTGAACCTGGTAATGTAACACGAGCCACTGTTTGTACATCCCATGACTCAGATTGTGCGTCGATGACCATGCTGTCCCATAGGGCCTCCTTCCGGGAGTCCCCACCTCAAGCCCTGTGGGCCCCACGCCCACCAGGACCCCGACTCCGGCCTGCTCTGCCGGCCCCTGAAGGCTGGGCCGACCAGAGCCGTAGGTGGATGCCACATGCACCTCAGCTCAGCCGCTCGTCGGTCCCCAGCCCTGCCGCTCTGCTGGAGAGGGATCTGCCCACGGGACATACAGAGCCTCCCTCACACCAAACAAGCCATTTATTCCAGGGATTCTCAGCATGTCAACAGGGTGGAAGCCTCTGACAAGGTGGGCTGGGACCTAGGAGATGGTTTGAGGACCAGATCAATTAAGATTCAGAGACCATGAGCCTCAGGCCCATGTTAAGGCAGTGGGCAGCCCCTCCCGCCACAGGTCGGGGGTCCTAAGTCCCTCGATACACAGTCGATCCCGAGTTCCAGGCTCTGTGTGTGCGGTCCTGAAACTCACTGACGGCATGGTCCAGCAGGAAGAAACTCTTCCAGCAACCATCACACTCCCTCACCCAGCCTCCCTGGCGACTCGCACAGAGGGAACAGGGCCGAGCCCCTGAGAACTCCTAGCCAACCCTCAGTGGGGAGAGGTTGCAGGAGGCAGCTCCCAGGGCACGCCACCCTGGGGCCCGAAGTCTCCAGGACACCAACTCCAGGTGGGCTATTCCGAGGTGCATGGGGTGCAGTCCCTCCACCGCCGGCTCAGGTCCTCGATGGCATCCCGAAGCATCCGCGTCCAGTCGTCGCCTCTCCGCATCGGGGTGCAGCGTGCCTCCTTGCGCTCCAGGGCTCGGATCTCGGCAGGAGTCTCGGGGGTCAGGCCAGCGGCCAGGACAGCTTCCGGGAACTTGGCGGCAGAGGCGGGGGCCAGGCAGCACCGAGGAGCACTGTGGGCGAGTGGGTGGGGAGGGAGGACCATGAGAGGAGAGGCGGG